CTTTTCCCCCCTTGCCCAGTAAAGTCAGAAAGTACTCTTTTTTTTGCTATGTTATTTCTTTTTTTTTTTTTTAAGATTTTATTTATTTATTTGAGAGAGAGAGAATGAGAGACAGAGCATGAGAGGGAGGAGGGTCAGAGGGAGAAGCAGACTCCCTGCTGAGCAGGGAGCCCGATGCGGGACTCGATCTCGGGACTCCAGGATCATGACCTGAGCCGAAGGCAGTCGCTTAACCAACTGAGCCACCCAGGCGCCCCTATGTTATTTCTTTGAGAAATAAGTCTGGGGGTCATTGCTCACGAGTTTCGTAGCAGTCTGCTTTGACCTTCCTGATGTTTATTTAGCAGTTGGCATACTCTTATCATCTTAGACACCTACTGTCTATCCCACATTTCAAAGTGGACAACAAACCAAGCACCACTGGTTAACAAAAGATCCCTTTATCTAACAGAGGGATGATTTTGAAGATGCTACTTTTAAAAGAATGATATAAAAAAGAAAACTAACTATGAACATTTTTGTCAATGTCATAAAGTTTTATATCAAAATAGCTAAAAGTAAAACCAAGAAACATGATTTTATTACACACCTATCAAATGTTTGGCAAGTATTGCATATTACCTGTAATATTTTCCACCGCCCTAAAAAGTATGAACTAGTAGTTTCTATTGAAACAGTTGAAAGTAGAGCTGAGCAAGGTTAAGAAGCATGGTCCAAACTGCACAGGGAGTAAATGGAGGGGCTGGGATTTGTAAACTAGAGGAATTTGCCTTCAAAGCCCATTTGCTTCCCACTGTACTAGGCTGCCTCTTACGATATGATCTCTTTGGTCCCAAGTGCACAGATTTGCTCAGAGATTGCAAAGAATAAATATTTGCTCAGAGATTGCAAAAAAAAACCCAAACTATCTTTCTTTTGAATAAAGATGCAAATGTAGGTAGACATTATTTCTGTTTCTATCCATGTTAGCACCCCTTCCAACAAAATTCCAAAGTTTTACAAAGTATGGTATAAAAAGAAACCATTCTTATGAAGAATTTGCATTTCTTAGAGTAATAATGAGGGATTATTAAATTCACATGTAACAGTGGTTGCAGAACTGAGAATGTTTTTGTGAAACAAGTTTCATTACATTGTTTCTTCCTCCCTCATTTTTCAGTAAAATTATATCAGAAGGCTATCCTGAAGAGAAACACAGACACTATAAAAAATATTCACCTTTACACAAGTCCAGAGAGCATACGGTATTTAGAAATGTATAAATAACCCCATATAGAGCTATTTATATACTCATACAAAAGAGATAAGATTTACTGAGTTATACTAGGTATTTTATGCATAGGGTCAATCTATATAAAAACCAAGTGAGAGACTTATTACTACCCTCATCTTACAAATGAGAAAACAGATTCAGAGAATTAAAAATTTGCCCAACATTGCCAATTTAGTCAATGATAGATTTGTAATGCTAATCTTAATTCAGTATATTGCCTCTCAACATTATTTACAGATTATTTTATGGCTATTCACAATAATTCTGTAATTATTCATGTGAATATACAAAAAATGAGTGTAAAATCACTGTCATTAAATCTTGCTGACCTATAATCTTTAACTCTATACTTACGCTCTATTTTTCCAAGTATGATCAACCCTTCTTCTAATCACAATATATGGCTTATATGAGACCCTGGTAATTGTATAACTGAAATCTACTAGATAATTCATACCAAACAAGCTGAAATGCAAATTTCATTCTTCATCTTTAACAAAAATTCCACCTAACTAGGTATTTTACCATGCAACCTTAACTTCCTCAAGTGCACAGGGCTGTCTTTTTAAACATATTATTCTTATAAGCACTTGTAAAGTGGAGACATTGAGAACCTCTGTCTTACAGGAGTTAAGTATGAGGATTACATGACATTATGTATGTTAAAGTCTTTTATAAACTGAAAACTAGTATACAGATAATGATTATTATCTTGCTGCTTCCATCAATAAGCTCAAGTTTACAGCTTTTGAATGAGTGAATGAATGAATTAATGTTCTCACAGAGACCAAAAGTTATCTCTCCTTGGTTGAGTAGTTTTCACTTGAGATATACAGGGAACTGCCAAGGAATTTCAAAATTGGAAGAATTTCATATTGAAACCCCAAAGTAAATAACCTTGGCTTATCTACTCAGGGCTGTAAATACTCTTTAAGCACTTGCTCTTGGCCTAAGAGGCGGTGTGATGACTTCTCTGACCTAATTATGAAGTTGGATGCAGACTGAGCCATAGTGTGGGACTCCTGGAATACCAAACCAGACTGAACTCTCTTAGCTAATGCCATGATATTTAAAGTTCTCTGGTTAGAAACAGGATTTTCAATTTTAAACTTGTTATTTGTATCTTCTCAAATCTCGATCTTCTTAACCTTTGTTGAGCTGAATAATTTTACCTATTTGTTTAATACCATATATGTTTTTGTGCATGTACCAAGATAGAAAATTCCTTCAGGTCAGCATTTTGCTATTCTGTCTAAGACGGAATAAGTTAATTGGCAAGGCTGTCCAGAAGTTTTCTTGCTTCTAGTCATCGATTTTAAGTGGTGAGTGCATGGAAGAAGTATAAGAGCATTTTAAAAGTACAAAATAAATCCTGATAGTTGTTTTCTACGCTAAATGCTTTTTGCCTCCAGACAGGACACATGCTATTTCATGGAAGTGAGTGGCACTTTGTCACCAGTCCTGGGCATTAATTTTGTTCCTGCTCTATTGATCAGCTTAAAGAGATCTGTCTTATTGTGCCATGCACTTCTGTTTAAGAAAGGTTAATGTTTCCTGGTTAACTGGTTTTGGAAAGAAAAACCAGAAATCTTATAGAAAACTCTGAACTCTTATTACATTTAAAAAAAAAAACCCAAATCTCTAAAAATCACAGGGAATAGAAGAAGGCACCATTCCCCCCTCTAAGAGTAAAGCTTTTTTTTTTTTTTTAAACATGTTTAGTGACTTCCTTATTTTCTTGTATATTTTCAGAAAGTTTCTTTTGGGTCATTTTTGTTATAAAGAATTAGTGATGGAATTTAAATATGGACTGTGGATTAAATAATTGTATTGTTAAATAAACACCACTGATAAATGTCCTGATTTTGAGAACTGATGTGTGGCTATGTAAGAGGATATACTTATTTTTAGAAAATACACACTGAAGTATTTAAGGGTAAAGGAGCACAGTGTTTCCAGTTTATTCACAAATGGCCCAAAAGCACTTGTAAAATGGAGATAAAGAAAATAGATTGGTAAATCTGGGTAAAGGATATATATAGGAGTTCCTTTTATTATTCTTGTGACTTTTTTCTAAGTTTGAGGTTCTATGAAAATGAATGAAAGAAATACACTGATATTAAGAAAAAGTTGTGAAACAGTTTTCTTCATTTCAAATGAGCATTTGTAAAACATTTATTAAGCCATAAGTAATGCAAAGTTTAGTGAATGAATAGAAAGACTTTTTTTCTCTCAAACTCTGTTCCAGGTTTCAGGCTAAAGTGAAATTCTCTCATTGACAGCATTTTCTAATATGTTTAGTGCTTTAGGGAGATTCAGCACTTTGAGGGAGAAAGTGCTCATTAGGTTACTCCATAGAACCATGGTGTATCAGAAAAAATTAAGAAAAGCTGGTGGTAGAAGTCAGAATAGAGTTCAGGTTTTGGAACAGGTTATTATTGCCCTTTTACTATGCTGCAATGGACAAGGTCCTTTGTGTATCATATGGTATAGAGTTTTGTTAGTCTAATTCTATATCATACATTTTCCACTTTTCATTCCACCATTCCACTTTTCAACCTTTCTCTTTGATATTAATATAATTAAATGAAATTATATTTCAAACATTCTAAAACATAAATGAAAACTTACAGATATAACTATCCATCTCATCCTTTTCTTAAGCTTCATAGAATCCCATAGGTTTTCAATGTAACAATGAAAATATTCTCTCCATTTTTTTCCTACTACTAGTTTAAGGTTAGTCTATGTGATTAGCTTCTTATTTGATCTTTTTTTTGTAATTTTATTTTAAGAATTAAAAAAAAATAATTCTAGGGCACCTGGGTGGCTCAGTTGGTTAAGCGACTGCCTTCGGCTCAGGTCATGATCCTGGGGTCCCTGGATCGAGTCCCGCATCGGGCTCCCTGCTCGGCAGGGAGTCTGCTTCTCCCTCTGACCCTCCCCCCTCTCATGTGCTCTCTCTCATTCTCTCTCTCGCAAATAAATAAATAAAATCTTTAAAAAAAAATTCTATCAGTCATGTAACCAGCTCTTTACAATTCTTTCAATGAATCACTTTCTTCAAATATATATACTCAAACCATTTGAATGAAAAAATCAACATTTTTGTTCTCTTACATAAGGTCAACAACATGTTTGATAGATTTTTTTTTTCCTCACCAAATTAATGAAGTTGACTGGTTGTTATGGGATTGTTTTAGCCAAAGCTCAAGACAATTTATACTATTCCACTGATAAATGTAAATTTACTTTATTTAGAATGGGTACTATGAAATATAAAACTTTTCACATCTTTTTCTAGTAGGAAATTAACCAGGCAATATATGCTCACACATGCCTTTTAAAATATCACTAACTGATCCACTAAACTGTAGCAGTGATCATTTTGCTATGATAATGGATAATTAATGAAGGACATAGAAAACATAATAAGGGACTGACTTAAAATTTAATTTTTAATAAACCTAAACATTCAAAATACCTTAAATGTCATAAAGTCTCTTCCTTTATTAGGACCATTGTGGTTACTGTCATAACAAAAAATAGCCAAAAATGCATAATTCTATTTTCTGCTGAAAAAGCAGACAGACCTGAATCATCAATCTTTTAGTGCGTCTGACTTTCTGGATGGGTGATTATCTAGTTTATTCCCACCCTCTGGGGTAGTCCCAGCAGTTTTGTGTGAAAAAGTATTTATTTCCTGTCTCAATTCTTCCCGTTACAGTTTTATGATACTTATTCTTCTTCAGTAGAGGTGGTGAACATGTGGTCAGCAGCATCATCCATTTAACATCACTGTGTGCTCAGATCCACCTTCAGGTTAGTGTTCTAGCCTGGGCTAGATAGTTCTGGTCCCCTTAACATTGAGAACATCCTGTTTCTCTTTCTTTAAAATGCCTTAGCCTTCTTTCCTGTATTCTAGTGATTCTTAATAATTTTTTTTTTTGATTGCACACCTTTTTAAGAATCTTTTTTTTTTTTTTTAAAGCTTTTATTCGTCAGAGAGAGAGCATGCACAAGCAGGGGGAGCGGCAGGCAGAGGGAGAGGGAGAAGCAGGCTCCCCGCTGAGCAAGAAGTCCTATGTGGGACTTGATCCCAGGACCCTGGGATCATGACCTGAGCCTAAGGCAGACGCTACCCAACTGAGCCACCCAGGCGCCTCCCTTTTGAGAATCTGATGGAAGCCATGGAGCTTCCCTCCAGGCAGATGGGCACATGTGTTCAAGACTTTGTATGCTGTTTCAGGATCTGCTCTACCTTGTAGCCTGTATATGTACCCTTCAGGAAAGCGGTTATTGAGATAAGAATGTCCTCAAGTGGTTGTTAAAATAGTGGGTTCCTCAGACCAACTCTCTGAGATATTAACTGAGTACAGCAGCAGAGGGACTTAGCATCTGCATGTTAACAAACATGATGTTTGAAGACTGCATCACACTCTGAGAAAGACTCCTCTAGAACTGAGGAGCCTCAGATGAAGAATCTCCACTGTCGGGATGCCTGGGTGGCTCCATTGGTTAAGCGACTGCCTTCAGCTCTGGTCATGATCCTGGAGTCCTGGGATCCAGTCCCGCATCAGGCTCCCTGCTCAGCGGGGAGTCTACTTCTCCCTCTCCCGCTCCCCCCTCTTGTGCTCTCTCTCTCTCTCTCAAATAAATAAAATCTTTAAAAAAAAAAAAGAATCTCCACTGTCTGCCCTCTCCAGGTTTTGTGTTTCTTAGCTCCTAGAAGATTTAAACTTAGAGGACCTATATAGTTTACAGCACGCTAAAACATGTTGTGTTTCAAAGGCTCCCCAGATAATTTTCTTTTATATGTAAAAAGTTCATTCAAATCCCCAGCATAAGGATTTATGAAAACCCAATCACTTACATCAAAGTCCCATTTCCTTTCTGAAGTTTTCTGTGAAATTTTTAGCTCATAATGGTCTACATTTATTGACTGCACCACTTGTTTGGCAAGTGTATTATGTTTTAGGCATTCAAGATCTTAATTGCTATTTAGGGGAAGCATATGATTATCTTATTTCGCCCATTTTTTAAACTGAGATATAATTGATATATAACATATTAGCTTCAACAGCATAATGAGTTGATATTTGTATACGCTGCAAAATAATCACCATAATGTCTAGTTAATATCTCTTATCATTCATAGTTACCAATTTTTTTTCTTCTGATGAGAACTCTTAAGATCTGGGCACCTGGGTGACTCAGTCGGTTAAGCGTCTGCCTTCGGCTCAGGTCATGATCTCAGGGTCCTGGGATTGAGCCCCATATGGGGCTCCCTGCTCAGCAGGGAGCCTGCTTCTCCCTTTCCTCCCCTCTTGTGCTCTCTCTCACTATCTCTCTCTCTCTCTCTCAAATAAATAAATAAAATCTTAAAAAAAAAACCTTTTAGGATCTCCCCTCTTGGCAACACGGTGATTATAGTTAATAATACTGTATTGTATATTATTTTTCATATTTTGATGATGAACTTTCGAGGACAAGGATCTAGTATAGATCTGTATAACTACTGTTTGCTCAGCCCAGTGTCCCAGGAAGTGAGGAACTTAATAAATCTTTCTAGTTGATAAGCGCATGATTAAGGGAAGAAATGTTCTTCTGAGATCAGTAATTCCCCTTAAAAGTCTATGACAATGTATTCTTTGGCCAGTGACATCCAGTGAGTCATTTCTTACGGCACAGGTCTCTGGAGTCAGACGTATCTGACCTAGGATTATATCTCAGCTGTGATACTCGCCTGTTGTGTGTTCTTGGGCAAGTTAGTGAATGCCTCAAAGAGGCTCAGTTTTCCCATATGTAAAACAGGGATAATAAGAGAATTTCCTTCATAGAATTGTTGTATCAAAACGAATTAATAGAAATGAAATGCACAGAATAGTGCTGGAATATGGAAGGTACTCAGAGTTAATTATTTGATTTCTTGGTGATGTTGGCCTTTTTTTTTTTTTTTTAAAGATTTTATTTATTTGAGATAGAGCGAGAGAGTTCGAGTATGAGCTGGGGGCAGGCAGAGGGAGAGGGAGAAGCAGGCTCCCTGCTAAGCAGAGAGCCAGATGCAGGGCTTGATCCCAGGACTCAGGGTCATGACCTGACCCGAAGGCAGATGCTTAATGACTGAGACACGCAGGTGCCCCAATGTTGGCCTTTTGTAGCATGTGGTAGACAAAATTCTAAGATGACCCCCAAGATTCTTTCCCCACTGGTGTACTGTTCCAGTATAATACATGCCCCTTGAGTGTGAGCTGGATTGTGAATATATTCTAATTCAGTCCCATGATTAAACTGTGCTATATAACAAGAGTAAAGAGTAAAGAATAAAAGGGCCTAAGACAAGGGTCACATGATAGTTTGTAGGACTGAACTCCCAACTTTCTTGCTAGCTATAGGCCAGGGACCTCTCTTAGCTCTTAGAGGCTGCTAATAGTTCCCTATCATGTGACAAAATATCATAGAAAAATTGAGCTAGAACTAGTTTTTTAAAGAGTTGCCAATTTAGCTCAGTTTCAATTCTGACCATTTTAAGTGTCTGAGTGGGTATTATTTTCTTTGTTTGTTTTCACATTGTAACTGACAACTGTCATTTCAGGGTATTTCTCAAATATTTTTGCTAAGATTTAATTAACAGACATAACAAAACACTGTGGGCTGTTTTTCCTTTTTTATCATCAGGCAATATTGTTATCCAAAAAATGCACCTTATCATTGATAAAAAAAAATGGTCATAAATAATCCCAGGTGTCACTAAAATCTCATGGAGGAACAAATAAGGGGAAAATAATGATGGGAATTTCATCGATAAGGAAAAATATTACACAGCATACACACAAAAAGAGAGCTATGAATAATATATTTAAAAAGTAAAAGTGTAACTAGCTATAATCTTGAAAGCAATATTATTATTTGTATTTAAGTGTTCTATAAGATTATCACTTAGTTGAGATGTGTTAGACTTAGCTTTAAAATTTTGATGGACATTGGTTCAGGTAGTTTTTTCATTTTTAAAGATTTATTTATTTGAGAGAGAGCGTGCACGAGGGTGGAGGGGGGGAGGAGCAGAAGGAGAGGGAGAAGCAGGCTCCCTGCTGAGCAGGGAGACAGACATGGGGCTCGATCCCAGGACCCTGGGATCATGACCTGAGCTGAAGGCAGACGCTTAACCGACTGAGCCACTCAGGTGCTCCAGTTCAGGTAGTTTTTTAAATATATTATTTGTCTAGATTAGATGCAGAGACTACATATTGAATTAGAATTTTACTAAAACAAGTAAAGGCAGATGTGGTTAATCACAGTGATACAGAAACCTTGTATAATAAGAAGGAAAAAATCAGTAATCAATCCTGAGAACATATGTATGAGATTGAAAGAAAACTTTTAAAAACACTTCCTTTAAGTTATCTCCTTTATAAATCATTTGGGAGCATTTACTATCCAGAGAAATAAAATGGCCAGCCTGCAAGAAGTCCATTGCAGTTCTCATTACCATCTTGAGCTGAATTCTGTTGTAGCTCCAGGATTCCATTCAGCTCATTCCACTATATTAGAACCTCAAAGATTTTAAACATTGCATTAGGGATTTCTGCATATCCACAGAAACAGAATGTGCAACAGCTAGTTCAGTTGTTTCCAGCACCTACCGAATTGAATCCCGGGGACCGGCAAAGTAGCATGAAAGTCTGAATCTGGCCTGATGTAAGTGTGAAGTGCAGAGTGCTGCCCTGCCTAATGTATTAACATTAAAAAAAAAATAATTAAAAACTCCATCAGTCAAAATTGCCAAATCTGGTGTGCAGATTACTCTGTTCTACCACCTTTTTTGAGGGGGGAGGGTGATCTCATTTTTTGTCATAGGCACTCTTCTAGTTCATGTTCTAAGTGTTTTGGGGGACACTGGCCTTCTTTCAGTTCTTCAGATGTACTATGGAGCTGGTACACATTCTGATTCCTTTGGATCAGAACCCTGACTCCTTGCCCTTCAGAGAGCTCAGCTGAAATAACACCTTCTCAGGTAGACCTTCTCTGACCACCTGAGCTCCTCCTATTATTCTTTATCCTATCACTTTCCTCTCTTGTATTTGTCATAATGCATACTTACATATTCCTCATAGACCACAGCTCCATGAAGGAAGGGACAAATGTTCATCCAGTACCCAGCACTGTGTGTGACACATAGTAGCTACTCAGTAAATATTTGTGGAATGAATGAATGAATGAATTGTCTAAGAATTAAGGGAATGTGGAGGAAATGACTTTTAAGTTGAAAACCCAAGGATCCTTAAGAGTTAGCAAGGCAAAGGGACGCTGAGCGGGGGAGGGGAAAAGGGGAGCATTCCATAGCAAAGGCTACAATGGGAAGAGAGCATGGTATGCTCTGGGAATTGAAAGAAGCCCTCCTATGACAAGATTCCAGAGAGTAAGAAGGAAGAGGCAGTCCATATCCTTTTATGGCCTGAACTGGAAGACCCATGTCAAAGAAGGATCTGTGGGACAATTGTCTCCTGCCATGGACATCACAGGTTTGCAGTGGAATGAAGCCGATGAGCAGAGAGCAGCAGAGATGAGAGCTAGAGAGTAGTGCCAGGCTTCCTCAAAGCTTTCAATGTCTAGTTCCATTCCCTAGGGTGGGGGGCCACAGGGGGATTAGAGAGTAGTTTCTGTAAGCTGCCCTATGATCCTTCCAACTAAACACCAGGGGCTAAGGTGACTGCAAATTAGTTTCTGTTGGTGTGAAATAAAAAACACTGATTAATTCAACAGGATTTGAGGGGCAGGTAGCTCAATTTGGACTTGGTGAGTTTTCGGTACTTGTGAAAAAC